TGGCCCCACAGAGAGTGGAGGCCCCAGATGTGTTTGTTTGTTTTAGTAGAGGTTTTGCGGCGCTCGCAACTGCATAAGATTATATGAGCGCCGTCTCAGATGTGTGTAGTAGGTCAAGTGAGCTCCAAATGGAGACCTCAACTATACTTTTACTTTTGTTTCTTAACTTTCTGTATATGAACACCATATTGTAAGACACACTGAATACCTCGTGTTGGTCAATATCTGGCCTTATTTGCTATACTTTCTACTGCACCAGCCATTAGGGAACTCTTAAATGTGTATGTAAGAGCTTCTAGTTATGCCCCCTTGTTCTTTGGATTGTGACATGTTCAGGACATTTGGACCGAAGGCTGTACACAAGAAACAGTCTATCCCATTTATTTGGTAAGAGATTTACAAGATGAATAGATGAGGACCTAAGCAAGCTTTTAGAAATAATGTACATGAAAAATTAAGTTACTTTATTTTCCTTTTTAAAGCAGTTCTCCGCCTTCCCCCTACATGCACATTGCCCCTGAAATGAGATGGGCTCTCAAACGTTTAGTATCTAGACAAGTAGTCTAGATTATTGTGGTGCTTTACATGTAATCAAAAACCTAAAGTAGCATTTTGTGAGCTCAAGCACGTGAGGGTGTTCAGTTCTGATTTCCTTACGGTATAATGATATAATTTACAAATGTACACATATTGTTGCTTTTCTGCTCTATATTTGAAGACAGTGACTGGGATTTGAACTGCTTCTTTGATGCTCCACAAAGAGGTGAAATGTTGTTCTTCCTTGGCTAATGCCATAATAATTGTCTGTTGTAGGAGTGGCAGTATTAGAGACATTATTCAGGTGCACTGTTTTGAGTACCGCTGGTTCATGTATCATTATAGTTGCCGAGTGAACAAAGAAAGCTGTGTATAAAAATTCCTCTATTTTTACAAATGATATCAGTATCAGCTGTGCTCTTTTTTACTATGCAGTTTTCCACTGTATTAAGACCATCCACAACGTTTCATAAACATTCCTCCAAGACTTCGCAAGTGCTGAAGAACCGAGGGGGG